TCACACCAGATCACACCCAACCACCTCCACAAACGATACACACAAAGGGCAGAATCGGCAGGTACTAGAAATCCCCTAAAGTGAATCCTGCTCCATAGGTTCAGCCCCTGCACAAAAGCTCATCCACTACAATCATAAGCAGACCTCACAATAAATTAGTCTGAGGTTCTATCCCTCCCATTGACATACCAACAACAGTAAACAAGGCTCAACTACAATAGGAAAGCACACACAGCACACACAAAAGATATACCTGGTGCACCTGATTCAGGTGGCCAGAGAGACTATGCCACTGTGCCGCATAGGACACCTGCTATATGAGGCCACTCTACCAGGACCAGGAGACATAGCAGCTCTAATACATAGAAACATGCCCTGGCCAGTGTGGCTCAGTTAGTTGAGTGCTATCCCATGTACCAAAAGGTCACCGGTTCAATTCCTGGTGAAGGTACATGCCCAGCTTGTGTGCTCAATCCCTGGTTGGGTGCATGAAGGAGGAAGCCAATCTATGTTTCTCTCTCACATCGATGTTTCTCTCTAAAACATTTTTTTTTAAAAAAGAAACAAACACAGGGAGGCAACCAGAATGAGGAGAAAAAGAAACATGTCCCACATGAAAGAACAGAACAAAACTTCAGAAAAAGAACTAAACAAAATGGAGACAAGCATGACCTCAACAAGATGCAGAGTTCAAAACACTGGTTATAAGGATGCTCAGTGAACTTATGGAAAGAGTAGATGAACTTAGTGAGAACTTCAACAAAGAGATAGGAAACATAAACAAGAACCAGTCAGAATGAAGAATAAAATAACTGAAATGAAGAATACATTAGATGAAATCAACAGTAGATTAGATGAAGCAGAGGACTAAATCAGTGATTTGGTAGAAAAGGTAGAATAAAACACCCAGAACAACAAAAAGAAAAAAGAATCCAAAACAGTGAGAATAGTTTAAAGGCCTCTGGGACAACATCAAGCATACCAATATTTGCATCATAAGGAAACCAGAAGGAGAAGATAAAGAGCAAGGAATTGAAAACCTTTTGAAGAAATAATGATGGAAAACTTCCCTAACATGGTGAAGGAAATAGACATACAAGCCCAGAAAGTGCAGAGTCCCAAACAAGATTAACCCAAAAAGCCCACACCAACACACATCATAATTAAAATGCCAAAGGTTAAGGACAAAGAGAGAATCTTAAAAGCAGCAAGAGAAAAGCAGTTAGTTATCTACAAGGGAGCTCCCATAGGGCTGTCAGCTTATTTCTCAATAGAAATTCTGTAGGCCAGAGGGATTGGCATGAAATATCCAAAGTCATGAAAAACATGGGTCTACAACCAAGATCACTCTATCCAGCAAGAATATCATTTAAAATTGAAGGAGAGATAAAGAACTTCTCAGACAAGAAAAAGCTAAAGTGATTAATCACTACCAAATGAGTATTACAAGAAATGTTGAATGGACTTCTTTAAGAAAAAGAAGATTTAAAAATATTGCCCTCGGTTTGGCTCAGCAGATAGAGCATCGGCCTGCAGACTCAAGGGTCCCAGGTTCGATTCCGGTCAAGGGCATGTACCTTGGTTGAGGGCACATCCCCAGTGGGGAGTGTGCAGGAGGCAGCTGATCGATGTTTCTCTCTCATCGATGTTTCTAACTCTCTATCCCTCTCCCTCTCTGTAAAAAATCAATAAATATATTAAAATATGAATAAGAAAATGGCAATAACTACATATCTATCAACAGTTACTTTAAATGTAAATTGACTAAATGCTCCAATCAAAAGACATACGGTGGTCCTGGACAATGTTTCCCAATGGCTAGCGTGTCGGCCCCTGCACCTAAGGGTCTTGGGTTCAATTCCCAGTCAAGGGCATATACCTGGGCTGCAGTTTGCTCCCCTCCCCCAGGCAGGGCACTGCGGGAGGCAACCAATCGATGTGTCTCTCTCACATTGATGTTTTTCTCTCTCCCTCCACACTCTCTCTCAAAAGAAATAAAAAAAATTATCCTGAATGAATAATAAAAAAACAAGACCCTTACATATGCTGTCTACAAGAGACTCATTTCAGATTGAAAGACACGCACAGAATGAAAGGGATGAAAAAATATTTCATGAAAATGGAAACAAACAAACAAAAAAACCTTGAATGGATAAAGAAATGGTGCATATGTACAATGGAATAGGACTCCGTCATAAAAGAGAATGAAATCTTGCCATCTGAAACAACATAGATGGACTTAGAAGGTATCATGCTGAGTGAAATAAGTCAGACAGAGAAAGACAAATGCCATATGATTTCACGTATGTGTAGAATCTAAAAGACAAAATAAACAAACAAACAAACAAAACAGAAACAAACTCTGAGGTACAGAGAACATTTTGAAAAATGGGAGGGGAGTTGGAGGGACGGATGAAAAAGGGGAAGGGATTGAAAAGTACAGATTGGTATTTACCCAATAGTCATGAGGATGTAAAGTACAGCATAGGGAATATAGTCAATAATATTATAATAACTAGGTGTCAGATGGGTACTAGATTTATTGGGATGATCATGTCATAAGATAACTACATGTCTAATCACTATGTTATACATCTGAAACTAATATAATATTGTATATCAACTATAATTGAAAAATAAAAATCTGTTATAATAATGCTATCGATTTACTGGGCCACAAAGCCAGGGGCCTTGCTGCCCTCCCCCCAATCCCAGATTGGGGGGCCCCGCCCCCCCAATTTGGGATTCAGTCTGTTATGAAATTCTCCTTGTCCATACACCTGGTAAAGTCAGTGATTCTGGGGAGAAGCTATCTGTCTCTGATTTGTTTTGGGATGTGGAAATTAGACCATCTCAATTCACAGAGTGCCAAGGTGAAGGTGTGGGCCTATGACACAAAGGGACAGGGAGCTGTTTGGGCCCGCTTTGCTTCCAAGCCTCAAGAGTTATTCATTAGACATGATCCTCATGGCTTCACACAATCTAGTCTAGGTCAGCAATGGTAAGGCTTCACAATGGAGTTTCTGTCCAGATCCAAGCTAGGAATAAAGTGTTTCTTGGCCAGTGTTGTCATGTGCTTGTGATTTTCACTTGGGAAAAGGGGAATTATGAAGGAGGTGCTGTTGGGATATGATTCAGGAGTTTGGCTACCTGCCATTATTCAGTTTATTTCCCTCTAGAGACCTGAGTCATACCAAGGTCACAGAGAGGACTCGATGAAATGACATACATCCTGGTTCGTCCCCAGATCATCCTGGTTTACACCATTTTCCCAGTATCCTGTCCAGTTTAGAAACTGACATGCCCCTAAATATTCCTGTTTGGATATGTTATATGATCAACCATTTAGGACTAAAGCCCAGGCCTTCTTTTAAACCAATGCCTTTTCTACTTCTCTGGGCTGTTGCTTATTTGTTTTTATGCTATTTTCAGGGCCTCTGCAGCAAAAACTTATCACCACTGCTCAAAGCACATGAAGTTAATAATGTAGGAATAGCATTAACATCTCTGTTTGAAAATTATTAAAAAGATGATCAGAAAAAAAGATAGACCTCAATACAATTTGATCAAATAAAAATCAAAACACTTTTGCATCCTATTGGTATTTAAAATCTTCACCATGACTTCTAAAATTTTAGATATTTTTATGTTGCTGATTTCCTGTAAATTTTACTTTGACTTGGCAATATTTGCAGATTTTATACAGTCTGATGCCTTTCTTTCCAAGTTGCTCTCCCACACCATTGTGTCCCTATAGTTCATTCTAGAAGTCACATCAAAGATTTTCCTTAAAATGTGTCACTTCCAATTTAGTTAATGTTTCCTTTAAACTCTCCCATTTGTTGGGTAATAAGAAACTTTGATACTGAAAACAGTTAATCTAAGTGCATTTTATTAGGGGCATGTTAAGGTTGGGCACTCAATGGGGAAGTGTTTCACACTAACAGATATTTCAAAGCTCCTGACAAGATACATTCTGAATGAAGGCAGAAAAGGAAAGAACACTTGGGAATTGTGCTACAAGGACCAACAATACAGGAAATAGTGGAATGATATTGCTCCCTAAAAAGACCCTTGAAACTCAAAGTTCTTACTTAGGTCTCACAGTTGTAGTGTGTCATCATGCAGGGCTTGGAACTTAAACCTCAAGTTTAATGAAATAGAGCAATTTATGTTGCCTCTTACTTTACTATAATGCCTATATTTCAAGAATTGTCAGTTTACAGTTAGGATTTTTTTTTAATGGAACCAAGCATTTCATTCCAGCTCTCTCTCTCACCCAAAATTCCTGTGTATAATACCTTCAATTGTAATAAACTGCCTATTGGGTAAATACAGGGTCTTATTTAGGAATTTTGATTCTGTTTTAATCCATATGTGTCCTATGTGGTGTCTTAATGACTGCAAAGAATGGAGAATGCTGTATCTAGGTCATGTGGCATTGTGCCTAGAAGCACTCATAGCCAGCACACTCCCTAAAGGCAGTTGACTTCTAGTGGCTTCCAGAGAGGACTGTAGTCATCTACAGTTGTCCTAGCTAGAATGATCACCATCTTTATATGTTAAAACCATGCTTCCCAGAAAAATACATCATGTCAAAGCAAAGCCTTCTCCTTCTACTGGGGAAGCTTCAAAACCCAGAGAGGGAGTAGCTGAATGGTGTAGAGAGATGACTTTTTGTATCAGAAATAATCCTGGTGTGCTGTAGGTGCTGTAGGTCTCCCAGTTCATGTCTCACTGATGCACATTGGTAGGGAAGAAGGCCACAGAAATGTTATCTCTGGGGCCTGATAGATGGAGACTAAACACTGAGGATAGGAGGAAGTCTAATTCAAGTACTGGGTGCTCCAGTATGTTAGAGTTCTTTGATTTCACACACACACACACACACACACACACACACACACACACACACAAGTGTGTAAAATTATCTCAGCTATGACAGTCACTCTTGTGTGAGTATGAACTACCTTTTTCAAAATATTTGTTAGCATCCTTACCTGATCGGCAACTTTCCATATTTCTTGATCATTCCACTGTTCATAGGGATCCAAGTTTTTTCTAAATGTTCCAGAGAAGATAAATACTTTCTATAGCAATAAGAAAAGAAAGAGGAAAGCATGAATAACCTAAACATATTTTTATTTTTTTGCACATTTTATTGTAAAATATTTCAAGCAAAAAACATATTTTAAAATAATGTAACACCCACCCATGTACTTACCATCTAGTTTTCTTCAGTTTTTAAAATTTTATATTTGCTTTGTATGTTTTTAAGAAATAAAATATAGCTACATTTGAAGCCCCTTATGAACATGTTTCTTATCCCAATGTCCACAAGATAAAGAAATTAAGATCACTGTAAACTGTGGAAAATTAAATGTTTTATTCCTAGCAATATTTCTTATAAGCAAGTATAATATTAAATTAATAAAGATTATAAGATTATGAGTCACAATGGTTTGAACAAATTTCTGTTGTATATTAATGTATTTTCCTTGAATTTCTATTATAAACATAGCTTCCTATGGGATTTTGAAATTAAATTACAGCTACTTATTTAAACATCCATGTTAATCTGGTCTTAAAAACAAGGCACACCTCTACTTCCAAAACCAGTCAGGCACAGGGGAATTCACTTAGAAATCAGTGAAAGCGCAGAAATCAAATATTTGTTTAACCGAATGCACATTACAGAGGGAAGGGAAGCAGGCTGAGGTTGATCCTTCTAAAGTAACACAATGGCAATCTCATTCCCTGCATGGAGCACTGCTCAGTGTCACCCTAGACAAACTACTTGCCACGTCATGTCACTGTCTACTAAGGTCGACCTATATGATTAAAAAATGTTTTAAAATAAATTTGCTATCTCATTGGGGAATGCTGATACAATAATAATATTTAGTTCTCTCTTTGTGCCTATGGGTGAACTGAAAAATATTTTTTATACTAACGTTCAGAATAATTTTTTGCTTTGTCTTTTTGGTTTTGCCTTTGGTTAGTAACATCCAGAAAGGAGAATTAAGAACTGAATTTTTTAAAGGCTTAATTTTCACAAATTGCTTTAGACTGAGAGAGAATGCTCAGTGCCAACCTGATCTGTAAGGAAATGCACAAGGTAAGATGCCTACAGATTGATGGTATCTGTGCCTCTCAGGCAGAATTCAAATATCCTCACCATGGCAGCCAAAGTCAAGGTGAGATATATTAGAGACCTTATTCCCCAGGGCATAATTTATGGCTTAAAAAACAAAGGTGTTGCTAAATATCTCAGGAACCCTCTAGAGCACCCCCCCCGCCCCCCAAAAAAGCCTTGTCTGCTATTACTTAACTTCCTAGGGATGTGTACCTTGCATTACAGAAGTGGATATAAGAGTTGGCTAGATGACTCATCAGATGATAAGATGTGTAAGAAGTATATCTGTGCAATCTCCTCCAAGCTGCCAAGTAAATGAATGCAATATCCAAATAAGCCAAAGAGAGCAGACAAAGATAATTCTGATAAACTAAGGATAAATAAAGAGGAAGTGACTCTGAGAACTTGAGTCAATTCCTTATTTAAGAAATTGGGTTTAGTTAGTATCTAAAGTTCAAAGACTTGCCAATGGAATTTTGCCATTTACTATTTTTTACATTTTTCTATGGGAAATAACAACCATGGTGGGTTACCAAGCATCAGACAATTATGTGCTTCAGAACAGTTATCTCCACTGGGAACTAAGTGGCTGGAAAACAGCTCTGGCTTATGGCAGGCTTACCGGGTGCCAGGTAAGGCTCTTTACATGTGGCATCTCTTCATCTTCATATCAGCCTAATGATAGATCCTATTATTGCACATGAAGAAATCACAGCAGGGAAAATGGAAGCGACTTTTCCAAGGTCACTTAGCTAGCAGGACCCAAGGGTATTTGTCTTCAAACCTGTGCTCTTCACCACCATAGCAAAATACCTCAAGTCTTATGGGGACCAATATTTTTTTCCAGGAAAAGATTAAAGATTGGGCAGGATCCCATGCACTCAGTAGTATAGTCTTGATTACAGCACTGCCATCCATGCCCCTGGCCACAGCTCAGGTCCTGCACTGTCAGTGGAGAGGTTAGCTTCCTCTTCCTATGCAGGATCTGAGTTGAAGGGTTTATATGGGCTACAGGGTCCTTGTAAGTTTCAAGAGGACTTACATATCCAATGAAACAAGACAATAGAACTTTTTACTGCAGACAAATGGAACAGTGCCATTGCTCTGGACAACCACGGGTGGAGGCCAAAGGTATCATAACATCAAACCAAACACAGAAGTTATTAAAGGTAATGTAGTTTGCAAAGATGGTATATAATATAGCTCTGACCTGGTGGATATATCTATAATAATAAAAGCATAACATGCTAATTAGACCGGACATCCTTCCAGATGTCCTTCCGGAATGAAGCTGGGGCTGCAGCCGAGGGATCCAGGCAGCCACCAGCGGCTGAGAAGGAGGGATCTAGGCAGCCGCCTGCAACTGCAAGGGAGGGATTGAGGCAGCCACTGCAGCTGTGAAGGCCTACTCTTGCATGAATTTCATGCATCGGGCCTCTAGTCTATAAATAAGAACCCAAGTTCTTTGAGCCTCAGTGTTCTCATTGTAAAATGGAAAATGCCATCTTTTTTCTCAAATCTACTCTACCTCTAGGTTTTCCATTTCAATTCATAGCACCTTCATTTCCTCAATGCAGAAACTTGGGAATCATCAAAGACTTAACTTTCTCCCTAATCTTCCTGAATGGAATCAATCATCAGACCTGTGAATTGGTTTCTCAAAAATGTATCTCAAATCTATTTATTTTTTTAAAACTCTACTGCTATTGCATAGTTCAAGCCATCAAGACATCTCTCTCTGGAAGATGGCAAGAACCTCCTAATTGGTCTCTTTCCTTTCACTCTTGCCTCCCTTCCCAGTTCACTCTCATTTAATGACCAAAGCAGTTGCTATGGTATAAATTGGATTATGTCTTCCACTTTTTGAAAAGCTTTCAGTGGTTTTCTATTGCACTCAGGGAAAATGTAAAATCTTTAAGATGGTCAACAGACACTACCAAATTTAGTCCCTTCTACTTCTTCTGGCCACTTAGTGATCTTCTCCCCACCCTGCCCCTTTTCACTCCAGCCACATACTCAGTGAGCATTAAAACTATATATGCATTTGTGATCATTTTTGTAATGTTCATCTCTTCCACACTATAACTTTGCTATATACCCTGTCATTAACTCAAAGGCTTTGTATATAGTATATGCTCAATAAATGTTTCCTGAATAAATAAATGGGCTGATTTCAAGATAAAAAGTAAAAATATAAAAAGACTAGAGGCCCTGCACAGGTCGGGTCCTTAGGCCTGGCTTGCGATCAGGGCCTTCCGTCCTCGGGCCAGGGCCTTCCTTTGCTCAGCACCGCCCCCTGGTGGTCAGTGTATGTCATAGCGAGTGATCGAACTCCCGGTCTCCCAGTTGGACTCCCAAAGGGACACTTTGTATATTAGCCTTTTATATATGTAGATAGTCAGAGTTCAGCACATATTATTTTTATTCTTTCGGTAAGAATAAGTACTAAAACCCATAGTCTTTAAAGAAATAATACTAACAACCCATCAAAACTTTAATATCTCTATATAATTGATGTGAGAGTGAAACGTTGATTGCCTCCTGCATGTCCCCTACCATGGGTAAAGCCCACAACCTGGGCATGTGCCCTAACCAGGATTGAACCAGCAACTTTTCAGTGCATGGGACATAGCCCAAACAACTGAGCCACACTGGCCAGGGCAAGGATATAGTGCTTTTTTGTTTTGGCTCAGAATATATACAGGTTTGGGAAAAAGTAGGTTTACAGTTATGAATATGCAAAACATAGTTTATTCTTGTCTTTTGGCAATGTCTGCAAAATTTTATTCTAAGTTGAATCTGTAAAATAAAATCCATCCAATTTAAACAAATCAAGAATGTGAGACTGAATTATAGAATGTTTAAAAATAAGTGTTGCCTTGCTTTTACGAACATCTATTAACAAGAACAGTCAGAAATGTTTAAGGTTGCCATAGCCGGTTTGGCTCAGTGAATAGAGCATTGCCCTGCGGACCGAAGGGTCCTGTCAAGGGCATGTACCTTGGTTGCGGGCTCCTCCCTGGCCCAGGCCCTGGTCAGGGCGTGTGCAGGAGGCAACCAGTTGATGTGTTTCTCTCACATGGATATTTCTCTCTGTCTTTCCCTGTCTCTTCCACTCTCTCTAAAAATCAATGGAAAAATATCCTCAGTTGAGGATTAAAAAAAAATGTTTAAGGCTTATAACAAATAGATAATTTTATAAGGTTAATGTATATACCATTTATTTGTATGTAAATGGTTACATTTAAGGTGTTCAAATTATTGCTTCCTATAAAGTCATTTAATGCATTAAAAGCTTTTAGAGCCAATTTTTTAGGATATACTTTTTCAGAGATAGCATAAAAATGTTTCCTAGATCGGACCAAATTATCAAAGACATCAAATTTTTGGCTCAGAAATACTAAGACTGTATTGCACTAATGACCATACCATTTATTTTCTCTTTTTTCTTGAATCTGGGACTCCACTCTCATTGTCCTCATTACCTTCTTACGGTACAGCTGGCGAGTGTCTCAGCCCATTGCCCTGCCCCTGATTCTGCTCCCGAAAGTCCATGGTCCACATGCTGCGGGCAGCAGCCTGCCCTACTAACACCCTTTCACCACCTCTTCTGGCTCAAGAGTCAACCTATTCCTCACTTGCCAAGTCCTTCCCTCTTTCCAAAGACTCTCTAACATATAGTCTCCTCTGCCCTTTGCTCCCCCAACTTTTTCTAATTCCCATCTCTGTCCTTGTTCATAATATCCCTGCCTGGGATCCTGGAATATGCTCTCCACAACTCCCTGCCCAGATCCTTTCTAAAACCTACACACTTTCCGGCCCACTTCAATTATCACCTTAAGAATACAGTAATGTGGTGGGGCTGGATTCTCTCTCCTACTTGCCCACTGCACTCCCTGACTAGTCTGTGCCTGGACCCATGACTATATATGTTTAATTTATCATTTTTGTTTTTTCCTGTGATCCCTGACTTATGGCAATGAGTGTACTTTTGAGTCTCTCAATGGAAGCTCACAGGTTGAATGGGGAGCTCAATACCACTAATATAACTATAGAATCTATAATAATTATTATAATTTAAGAATAGAGTTCAATAACTAATTATTAAATTGTGAATTATTGTTAAACTGAATGAGAACTGCTGTGCTCCCAACTTCATTATTCAGATCGATAGATACATATTATGGGCTTAAGTAATGTCTCTCACAGCAAAAGATGTTCCAACTCTGTAGTGGCAGTCATGTGTGGGCGTGGACTAGTTTCAGATCAAAGTCTCATTGCAAGAAGAGGCCTGTCATTCCCTCGGAATAGCTTTGCAGCCTTTCAAACTTGTAATTGAAGCTTTGAAAATACATTTTAAAGTTATTTCTCTGTTTTTCATGAATTAAGGGCTTAACTAAGGCTTAAGGTTAATGAACAAGTCTCAGTGTTCAAATTGCCTAAGCCCATTGGGCTCTGACTCTAGGTCTTACTATCCATGCTCTCAGAGCTCACAGGCAAAATAGAACAAAGTAAAGAAGGCTCCACCTTGCAAAGTACACAATCCCCTAATTCCTGGCCGGCTGCATTCTCCAAGATTACTTTCTTGCATATTTTCTAGCTACAGGAGGGAAGAACAGAAAAAGCCAAAACACAATTGCATGAACTTGCCCAAACTAATGGCATCTTGTGATTCCATAGGATTCGGGATCACTGAAGGAAAGGGAATGTTTCTTGTTCAAAATTCCAGTTTCATGTGTATGAAAACAAGTGACTAATTGACCGAGAGATCTCTGATATCTCAATGTCAGAGATCTACGCCCTTGCCAGATCAGAAAGAGGAAAGGAAGGAAAAGATAGAAAAAAAAAAGTTTTTGTAGGATTTTAAATTCCTTTTTCTTCCTTAAGGTCAAACTCCAGGAAAGGGACAAAATTATGTGACTTGAACTTTCAGTAAAAGCATCTCTTGGTTTGGATGTTAAAAAGGTGTGAAGAGTTTGCCCTTTTTCTCTATTTCTTGGATAGTCACTTAATGTTCTCAAGGTGTCAATGTAGAGGAAATAGTACATTCTGTCTATAGACATCCTTGTGACACTCAGAAACAGTCCCAGAAACCAGGGTCATAAACATGTACAATGAGAAGCATTTCTGTGAGCATAATCACACATTTTTAAAGGCATATCTCAAAGTATTTTTTGTTTCGTTTATAAAAAGCTTAAAGGCACAGGAGAGAGAAAATGAAATAAAGGTGTTTGGAAGATTCACTTTGGTGGAATGATAAGATAAAGAATTTTCACAACTCTGGCCCACTCTATTTTTCTGCAGGTCTTGCATGTTCAGGTTCCTGCATATCTAGGTTCCTAAATAGAACAGACAATAAAACAAAAACCTCTCTATCACATGGCAGATAAACAAAAGGATTCCCAGTGAAATTGAAATTATTTTTTAGAATGTTGCTTATTCTAATGGGCAGATTTTTGTGAATAAGAACAACAAGGAAACAAACCTTCATTATTGTAGTTAAAAATGGAATCAGAATAATTAGCGTCAACTGAACAGCAACTCTTCTCAGACAACCAAATTCTATTCTGTGTTCTTCCACATTGCCATTTGCCTCATGCTATCACCTCGGGATACTTGTATCCCCACTGTTTATCTTTAGACCACTTGATAATCCCTTTTTTTTTTCTGAAGAAACAATATTGTTTTTTAAAGTTCAACCAGGATTAAGCTTCTGGCAACATGGCAAAGTCTAGACAAATGAATGAAAAGCATCATTCTAGCAGTTACAATATTTAGTGCCTCATTAGTTGAGAGGAGCAAATGTTACACAAAAGTAATCTAAAAAATACAAGCTATTTTCTCAAGGTAGATTTATAGTCAATCTCCTGGGAGATGTTCCTAGCATTTTAATTTTGTGATAAAAGTAGATAATTGTGAGCACCATGGTAGTGGAGTGGATTCAGTGCCCATTAATACAAAGAGGGCAAAGTGATCATTGAAACAGTGACTATATCCATAGAGATGAGAGCAAATACTAGTAGGTATGCAGCACATGCCTCTCAGATTTGCTCACATTAAAGATATTCATTGGTTTCCATTTGAATCATTTTAGAATGGAACTGTTGCTATTTTTCTCATATGTAAGAAGTCCTTTTGCAATAAAACAGTGATACTAAGCCAGTGAGGCTAGAGATACTGTGTGTGACCCAGATCAAAGAGTGACATTAAAAAAAAGAAGGGGGAGGGATTAGCCAAAAAAACACACATATACACATAACACATGGACAATGACAGCAGTAAGGTGGGCAGGGGAGGGGGGAAAGGGGATGGAAAAAGACTTTGCTTGGGGTGATGGGCGCATGATGCAGTGTGCAGATGATGTTGCATTGAGTTGTACACTGAAACCTTTATGGTTTTATGAACCAATGTCACCCCAATACATTCAATTAAAAACAACAACAACAACAACAACTTGCAACCCAGAGGCTCATGTAGGCAGAGCCAGAACCAGGCAAAAAGCTTAGTTCCTAAACCTCCGCTTTTCTTAGAGTAGTTTCTACCCATATCCATCTCATTACTGTCTTCTGACCCTCCTCCCCTTTCTCTCAGAAAAAAAAAATATAACTTTCTTTAAAAAATAGCTACAGATTAATCTGACATGGTTATTCTTAGCCAAAGAACAAAAATACAATCATTACATTTTTACTTTCAATTCCACTACCTCATGCTTCCAAGTGTTTGTGATTTCAGCATCATCTTTTATATCTCGCAAAGCATTTCTCAACCTGCTGTGGTCGCTAACTTGAAACTCAGACCACTGAAGCAGGACAAAAGCCCCAGCCTCTTACTACAGATTATGTCCTCTGGGACAGGCTATCAAAACTATTAATATTTCAATAACTGGATAGCAGAGAATTCTGAACTTTTAGAGATAGTTCTTCTCCTAATGAAAAGTTTACACTGCACAAAATGGGCAGAAATATATAACAAATACATTTTGCAGGGAAATGTGAATTTCTTGATTGCAAACATCAAATAATGGTAAAATTATACTTAGTTACTTTTTTCCCTATTTTTTTCCAGCTTACCTGTGGCATAACTCCAAAGGCTTTTCTCCACTGTTGCAAAGTTATTGAATCCCAAGACACACCATCTATTTGGATTTCTCCTTCCGTGTTCAGCAGTCTCAAAAAAGCCGATAACAAAGTACTCTTCCCTGATCCAGTTCTTCCCAAGAGGCCCACCTAGAATATAAGAGTGATGGCATTACTTCTGTGACATACAGATACTCTATCATAAATGTAATCTGGTAATATACTTCAATGAAAAACCATAGGAACTGTTTATTTTTCAATAATCACCAGAGAAAGATTTTCACTTATTTACTCAAACCTTTTTTAGTACTCCCAATTATGACCAATATTTACCTGGAACTAAATACAGAAACTGTCCATAAGGAATTGGATCCCTGATGCTGGCTTCCTTTATCCCTGACTTTGGTAATGGCAAAAAGGTTGAAAATGCCCATTTTCCATCAACGAAAAGCAAAGATACAATGTCTGAATGCACACCATTTCTATGGGTGGGCTTAAGCCAGAAGCAGAGACCTATAGTTTGATCCAGTTACAAACACAAACTTGAAAATGAATGAATCTGAAACAATCCTAATACTTAGATACTGTCTTTTATAAATAAGCAAGCATCAAGTTCAGGCCTGACAATAAACAAGACCAAGTTCAGTGAGCTACACAACCCCAGAGAAGGCAGGTTGGGCCTTGCTACCCTCATGAATAAGCACTTGGACAGCTGTCAAATCAAATTCTTACATCCATCCTGTTTGACAAGAAGAGCATTTTGGGAAGCAAAAGATATACTGAAGAACAGTAAAAACCATTCTTGTTACTGAAGACCATGAGAGCGTAGCATGCAGAGCAAGGGGCGAGCAGGCGCTGCAGGAACTTAGCCCAGCCCTGTGCTCTGATGTTAACTCAGACCCAGCACTCGGAGGAAGGTGCTTTGAGTGAGATCAAACATTCCTGCACTTACTTAATGAATAAACTGCCCAACATTTAGTGGCACTGAATAGATGTTCATTTCCTTCCTCTTAACATTATTCCTTTTTTTTTATTTATCATTCAGCCACTTTTACAGTAGAACTGAGCAAATGGTCCTTCAGAATAGTGATTTTCACATCATCTGTGGTAAAGGACAGTCACATTTTGTTTTGTGTTTTTAGTTTCTAACGCACTGCACATCAGTACTTTAAAAATTGGATAATAAAAATGAATTTCCCAATGCTTAGTCTTACTTTCTATACTTATCACAGACTAGTAACAGTCTGAAAACCAGAATCAGTTCACAGACACAATAAATGCTTTAGCACATATAATAACCTTTAATAATAACTTATTAATCACTTATTAGGAACCTGGAAATAAACTAGGCCTTTGGGATAAACTGATAAATAAACAATAATGACACAATTGTCTTTTTTTCATAAGAGCTCTATAATGAGACCTTAAAAATGTATGTTTTCCATTTTGATGAAAGGGAAGTTGGAGGAGGGGTAAAAAAAGGTGAATGGATTAAGAAGTACAAATCGGTAGTTACAGAATAGTCACAGGGATGTAAAGTACAGCATAGGGAGCTGCCGCCTGGTGGTCAGTGCTCCCACAGGAGTGCCGCTCAGACACAAGCCAGGCTGACGGCTGGTGAGCACAGCAGCCTGCCTCTACAGCAGCGCTAAGGATGTCCGACTGCTGGCTTAGGCCCATTCTCTGCCCCACGGGGAGCAGGTCTAAGCTATCAGTTGGACATCCCCCAAGGGACTGCAAAAGGGCACTGGCAGGGCTGAGGGGACCCCCCCCCCCGCAGTGTATGAATGTCGTGCACTGGGGCTCTAGTATTGTAATAAATATGTATGGTATCAGATGGGTACTAGATTTACCAGGGAGATCACTTAGGAAGTTATATAATGTGTAATCACTGGGTTGTACACCTGAAACTAATATAATATTGCATGTCAACTGCAGTTGAAAAACATGTTCTCTGAGATAACTGAGAAAACCAGATAAACCAAATGCTATACACAACAGTCCTTTGAGGTTCTTTATACAACTAATCACAATCAGTAATTATTTTATTTATTATTTTATTCTTTTCTTGATTATTGCTTGTGTTAACTCCAAGAATATTAATTCTTAAAGGGCACAGCAGTCTATCTTGTATCCCCTTGAATTCTCAGCACCTTGGCCCATATAAAGTGCTCAATAAATACTTGTTTGGATTGACTGAGGGGCAGGCAGATAGAAGGATGAATGTATGTATGTATGAAAAGAAGGGTGGAAGGAAGTGAAGTAGAGATGGAAGGAGGGAGGGAGGGAGGGAGGGAGGGAAGGAAAGGCAGATGAATGAATAAACTTACTTAGTCGATCTAACAAACAAATGGATTTTGCTAATTTGGTCAATTTCTAGATCAATGCTCAATTTAAAAATCTTGTGAAATTCTATAATGTAACTTCCATATTTGAATCAGCCCATGTTGTACAAACCTATTCACCATATGTCATGATTATTTGAGCACAACAATAAAGCTTTGTATAAGCAATCTAAATATGCTTTGTATAGGTGAGGTATAGAGAGAAGGAAAATTCAATAAAAGGAAGTAATTTTCTCTAAGGTCATATCAAAAATTTTTGATAAAAAATGCTTTGAGGTCCAGGCCCCAAATCATTGGTCAGGGTTTTAATGACTAGGATAAATGACATGTTCCCTTTCCTTAAAACGCAAATACTGATTTTTAGAGAACTCAGTTTTTATGTTGGGATGAGACTAGATTCATAGGCCATTTATTAATCTTTTGTTTAGCTTTAAAATTTTTAGCTTTTGCTCTGGTTTCCTTATATTATTGAACAGCTTGTATTGTAGCATGTTTGACATGTTTTTCATTCAACACCAAGGAATCTTACTGGTTTGTACCTAACAAAGTCTTCTTGTTATTTATATAATTGGCACTCACTAATTCTTTTCCGGGATTTGTTTTGTCAGGCTTTCTCAGTGACCTGTTGAATAAGCCAGAGTACTTCCCACAAACAAGCTTTTAAGATCTATCCTAAAATCAAGTCAGTGTTTTCTAGTAACTTAAATGCACCTCCTCTCTGAGAATTTTGGATCAAGATAAATCAAACTATTATGTGGAGAGTTAAACAGTGTTAGGTTTGGTGCTAGTTGTAAGGACATTGTACCATGAATAGAACAGTCTCAGTACCTTCTTTTCAGAGTAACTGAGTCAGGCAAGTGAAGTTCTTTGAAATTTAAAACTTAAGCTTTGTTAGCTTCACAATAAATCTGCCTCAGCCTTTACTGGATGTTGGACTTCTTTTAGATTGTTGTTTTGGGGGACAAACTTCTCTCTCTCTCTCTCTCTCTCCCCTCCCCCCATCCCCTTATTCTACTCCTTTTAAGAGAAGCAGTGGCAAGTTGTGGAAAAAAACCCACAAAAATCTTTCCAGTCAGATAGACCTGGGTTTTAGATCCCTGCTACCTTAGTTACTTCTTTGAACTTCAGTTTCTCCCACTGTGCACAAAAAGGGTAATAATATCTACCTTTTGAGTTATAATAAGGTCAAATGTGATAGCAAATAAAGGTCGTTAAACAGTGATTAGGGCATGATAAGCACCCAATAAACACTAGTTTCCCTCTTTGGATGGCAAGATCCATAGCCTCATGTGAGAACTTTTTAATTCCCCCATAGCATTTAGACAACATCTTGCAAAGAATAGTTATGGAACACACATAGCCTGTGTGTATGTGTGTGTATATATATATATGTTCAGGGGAAATAAAATGCCTATGCATATTGTTTCTTCCTCATTTTACAGCATCTCTGATTACTACTCTCACATCAGGGAAACTGTACGGAAATGAGGATGCTGCAGATCCTGTCACTACTAGAACTTGGCTGAATTTAATTGAGTGGGCAAGTGAGCACTGGTAAAGCTAAGGGAAGGGAGGGTGTCAAGAGGAAGGAGAGCAAATCATTTACCACAGCTTTCCACCCTGGTTTATATAAAACTATTTGTTGCTATTGGTTATAACTTGATGACAGTACTTTGGGCATCCATCCTGGTGACTCCAGGGACACTGAGCTGCAGATTGCATTCCCTGATGTATAAAGCCAAAGTAAGTAAATAATTATGCTTTTCTCAATGCGAGGGAGGAGCGAAGAGGAATAGTTACTTTTACATAGTTCCAAAGCATAACTTAAACATTTCTTAGAGTTCAATAATGAAGCAAAAACGTCAAAAATCTCAGAGATTTTATGAGGGCTGTAATATAAAACAAATAGCCATAAACAACCTCATCCTAAAATCAGGGGTAAATTAAACCAAAAAACTAAAGTCTTCCCATTTATGTCCATTTAAAATTGTTTTCTATCAAAAAAGAAGAAACTCATCATTTATAATATAAAGAAATATAATAGCCCAGCCAGTGTGGTTCAGTGGCTGAGCATCGACCAGCATGAACCAGGAGGTCACAATTTGATTCCCAGTCAGGGGGCGTGCAGCCAACTGATGATTCTCTCTCATCACTGATGTTGTTTCTCTCCCACCATCTCCCTTCCTCTCTCTGAAATCAATAAAAACATATTTTCTTAAAAAAAGAAATATAATAGGCTAATTTTAGTAGTATGTGAATTTATTTATCTTAACTATAAGTTTAATAAGATGAGTCAAAATTTCCAGTGTGCTATTTTAAGCCATTTAGAATGGTATGCTGGGACTTTTTGCTCATTCTATATTCTTTTTAAACTAAACTTTATCCAGTGCATTAAATTATCAAGTATTCCTAAACCTATGGAAAAAAGCAAGTGATAACAGTCTCCTCCTAGCTAGTGATAGTGAGGGAGGCCTAATAAACTTTCCTGACCATTCTCTCAATAATTTAAAAAAAATTTCTATTTGAAGTTAATCCACAAAGACATGAAGTTTTTAAATTCAGCTTTCATAAGACATGGCTTTCTTGTATTCTATCTCAGTTTTTTTTTTAAAAAGATAACAATCAAAACAATATAATACTCCTGTATAGATTTATGGAGTGGTCCAGAATATGAAATTTGAAGACAATATTAAACCACATTTATAGAACATGAAATGTAGAAAGAGTGACCATCTCTTTCTCCAAGGATCAATTCCAGAATCAGAATATTTGAGTACTTTCTGTGTGCTCAGCCCAGTGTTGGGATCCATAAAGAATGTTTCAAAATAATGCATGGTTATTTTTGCTCATTAAGTAATAAAATTTGCTTAGTAAATTACTGGGGGAACATTGATCTATACCTTGACGAAAACTCCAACTAAACAAACGGGGAAAAGCACAGCAAAAAAGTACCACTTCTTTGACAGAGTGTAAATTAGGTAAAATTTAAGACATTAGATGAGGTCAACAACAAGATATTTCTCTTACAGAAAATGGAAGATAGTCTCAAGGTACAAAATCTAAAATGTTATAATTTTGCTCTATTTAATGACTTCTTTACTGAGTAACCTACTAATCAAATAGATATTCTGTAAGTGGAATCATATTTAAATTAACCTATTATGTAGACGCAGGACTCTGCAAACGAAATTTCATATGGAAAAAAATAATGGCTCCATATAACAACAACTTGAAATATATGTGTTCAATATGGATCCTAGTCTACAATAATGGTGCTACAAACGCATTCTACGAACACATCATTCTAGGCTATTGAGATGAACTCACTGAATCCAGGTCTAAAAAAGGAAGCAATGTTGAAATCTCACCCTCTGGCCAGGACTTATGGAGAAGGAAATGTTCTCTAATATGGCATTCCCGCTGTCTATGTATTTTGCTGTGAGGTCTTTGACAATCATTTGGCCCCCTGAGGGCCAGATGTCATCTTTCTTCGCATGCTGATTCTCAATAATCATAACTTCCGAGAGCTGTCCATCCTTGGATGGTTTTCTTGATTTGGTGGATATACTTTCTTCTGTTTGCATGTCTATAAACTTAAAGACGCGGCTCACAGATCGCATCTGAAATGAAAATTACAATATTTTATTTTTATTTGTTTTAGAGCTGCAGGCAATGTCATAACTAGTTTGATGTTTCCTAAAAAGTAACTTGCAGGATGTAACACTAGCTAGTCAACTTGTGGTTATTTGTCAGAAGGTTTTACCATGAACTCACAGGAAATAATTGAATAGAATTAAAAGCTTAGTCGAAGAGATTTAACTAGGACCTATATAAATGGGCTTTGGCTAGACCTGTTTATTTTTCTGATCACTTAATTCTTAGGTATGCAAGTCACACATAAACAGCCAAACTATACTCAAGAGAACAGATAATGTCAAGGAGAAAACTATTTTCTACTATGAGCAGCACTGCACAATGTTGTACAACTGGTACATTATAATAAAATGTTCCACACCTCAAAACTAGCAAGAAGATTCTTGCTTTTCTCTTGAAGTGTCTTAATAACTCCCCACAATTCTATATGTCAGCTGGGTAGTAAGTGAACTCTTGATGCTTAGTAAATATTGAATAACCTCACAAAAGGCTTCAAAAAATTTAAGTCATTGGCATACATCTGTAGTTAAATAATTATATTTTAATCATTTTAAAGATTAATTTCCATTGCTGAGCAAAATATGCCTGTGTGTAATGGTTGTATTTGAAATTGAATATGCTTTATAAACTTATTCATATAACATTTAATAATGTATATATTTAATGTACATAGAAATAAAAGTTCAACTAAGTAATTATGATTTATTAGAATTTGGAGTATAATTTTTTAAAATATATTTTTATTGATTTCAGAGAGGGAGAGGGAGAGAGAGATAGAAACATCAATGATGAGAGAGTATCATTGATTGGCTGCCTCCTGCACGCCCCCTACTGGGGATCAAGCCTGCAACCCGAGCATGTGCCCTTGACTGGAATTGAACCCAGGACCTTTCAGTCTGCAGTCTAATGCTCTATCCACTAAGCCAAACCAGCTAGGGCAGGAATATAATTTTTAAAATACAGATAGCATATGAAATGAAAATAACAATATGGAATATAACAATGGTACATAAAATAATGTGACTCGGCCCTTCCCAGGTCTTATTAGCTTACTGGCTGAAATTTATTGCTTTTCTTGCCTTAAAACTAATTGTTGATTCTGGCTTTACTCCATCAAGTATTTATCCTTCTCCTTTACAATGTTAATGCATTATTTTATTTATAGTTAAGGCTTAGCTTATTAGAAATGATATTTTTGCCAAAAAAATAGGTGGGAAGAAATGCATTTGTAGCATGTGCTTCTAGTACTTCTATTTTTCATCATTAAAATTAACTGGGAAAAATTATCTTTAGTATGGGATGACTGGTAGATGAAGCTGAGGAATTTAGATACTAATCCTCAATGGAACATGCAAAGGTCCAGTTTAGCACACCTAATGGTACTGCCTGTTTTCACATGCCATTGATCACGCCTGCTGTATATGAAGTTCTTTCTTTTATCTAGTAAATCTGTGCTTCAGTTTCTTACATTTTGGAATTACCTTCAACAATTGTTTAAGATTCAAGAAAAGAATCCTTTTAAGCCAAACCCACTGTTAATGGATGTGAAATGTATCCAAAGCCCACATCCATCATAAACAACTCGAGGGGATGTCAAAAGCATATAATCACTATTGCTCCTACATGTAATATTTTAAATTTTCAAATTATGGGAGACTTTCAGGGGCTGTTAAATCCTGATTCTGTTATTTTTTATTAACTTTGAATTAAAATATACTCTTGCATTTCACTCTCATTAGTTTTCACAGAAAGCTGCTAGTCTATTTAAAGTCTGAAAGATAAATTATAATTGTAACTACTACTGAAATGGAACTGCAGGAAAAATAGTTCAAATACATTTCAAATACCTTATTTATTCTGCATAAGAATAACATCACTCTCTTGAAATGAGAAATTGAGAGAAATGCAGAAATCTAGCTTAATTTTATAAAATATAGTTGAAACTGTTGCCATTTCTACATATCAGTGCTATGAAGAATTCCAAACTTGTCTTTGTTAAGTGCTTTAGAATGTCCAAGAAAAACACTATATAACAAAAATCCTTCATTTTAATACTTCCAAACAATCAATAAAACATTTAAGGCTTGCTATCTAAACTACTAAAAATTATGTGCAGTGTTATTTTAAAATGACACCCAAAGCCACTATTTTGGCAGCACTGAATTAAGTATGTAATTTTTTTGTGTAGGGATCTGTGTTTGTGCTCACCAAATTACATTCTCCATTAGTGAGGCTCACCTTGAGGGTGGACCCAAAACTATTAATGCCTAATGTGGCAAGTAGGACATCCCTATCAAATTTAGAAAATGAAAATTTCAAATTCTCATCTTTCATACAGTCTGGGTGCTGAAAGTGACCCCAGGGCAGACTCTTATAGTTGCCCACAACATGACCTGGTTACCCTGACCTGAAAAAGAACAAGTTCATCTTAACGAGGGGCACTCATCCACAGCATAGGAGCAGACGTTCATTCATGGGTTAGCACATGTTCTCATGGGAAGGAAAGGTGACAAAGGCGGACCCCTGCATCACGGTCAACTTTGCAACCACTAAAATGCCACTACCGAATAGATAATGTGGCCAGATAATATTATTAAAGACTAACTAATGCCTTGCACTTCACTGGCTCTCCACTGTGCGCCTTCTACTTTCAGTGCCTCTTGGAGGAGAAGCCACATCAGAACCAGAGCACAGAAAATCAATTCCGGTTTTCAACTTTCAAAAACTGGCTTTTGGAGTCAGAGATTGGTAGCTTGAAAATTTAAAGCCACGTGAATATTGGCGCTTAAGCTTCCAAAGCCAGAGCCCGAAGAACTCATAGTACAGTACGTATACAGAAACGCTGGCCACAGATGAACGTTTGTGGAAGAGAGCTGGCTCCTTTCCTCACTCCGCAATCTGACTCATGAATGAGGGTAAACAAGAGGGCTGACACGCCCGTTCCTCTCAGGAGTCCTGCCCTGCACCCCAACTCTGGTTCCATCCTCAAGTAGATGTGGCAGTTTTACAAAAGAGGAGGCCTGTGTCACAATTCCAAGCTGGAACCTAGGACACAGGCATTGCCTTAGAGCAGCTCCCAGTGCCTGGCATGGCATGGCATGGGAGCAGGGAGTGGACATGATTGCTTGGCATGTCTAGACACAGGTGGCAGAGCACTGGTTTCCCTGTATTTCCCAAGTAGTGCTGAAGGGAAGCCAAAGAATTCCAATCCTCTGATCCCTCAGGATCTTCCTGCCTCAGGTACATGGAAAAAACTGAGAGAGGGAGCTCATCGAAGGAGAGCTCACAGTCAGGACAAGGACAAAGATTCAATCCACCTGGACTGCACACCTCTAGGTCAGATAGAGCCTCAACGCCTCAGAGACAGTGAGCATGACAACGGATAGGCGCCTTTCCCCTAGTATCTTGGCATTCTGAAAACTCCACTCAGAACGTAGACTTCCTTCTGGCAAGATCTCTGAGATTGTTTCTTTCACTCAGTAGAACACATGTTCGAGTGGGAAAAATATCTGACTATAGCAAAAGCAAAGACATATTTTTGAACACTTGATTTCATAGCCAAAAATTCATAGCTGTGATTAGAGATGAATCTTAACAATGGGCAGTCATCCACAGAATATGAGCAGACATTCATTCATAAGTTAGCGCATTTTCTCACAGGAAGGACAGGTGACAAAGGCGGACATCTGCATTATGGTCAGCTTTGCAACCACTGAAATGCCACTACTGAATAGGTAATGTGGCCAGATATTATTATTAATGACTATCTACTGCCTGCACTTCACCTGCTTGCCAATGTACACATTCTACTTGAAGTACAAGGTATTAGTTAGTATTTAATTAGTTTTTGTGAAACCTGAAACTTAAGTAATTTGAGGGGCTCTTCTTCTTAACACAGTCAAAGTTATGCATATATAATTAAGTATAGGGCTTTTGAAATGATAGGGCCTGTAGCTCATGTTTCAGGGGCTTCATGTTAAACCTACTGTGCCTATGACAATAACATTATTCAAAGCATTCCTTGTATTTTCCCCATTTAATGCATAGCTTAAGAAATCTTTATTAATGGTAAATGAATCCATTGTTCCACCTCACATGCAGAAAGCAGTCTGTGTAGGGAGAATGGCAGTGTGGTGAGTAGTTAAGTAGGTAATCCAGGCTGCAATTGTACCTCTGAGCTCCTCAACCTGAAAATATACTTTGCTATTTGGATTAGAAGGAAGTTGCAACACACCAAACTATTTTTAGTCTCATCTATTTGTTTCCACTGAGCTTTTCAACCTAACTTAATCCTTTTTCTAATTTAGAATGTCGACTAACATTTTCAGGTGACATGTGAAAACGGCTGTGCCACTGTCCAGACGGAGTTAGGTGGAAATTCAGATTTGGCAATTATCGAGAGTGACTGCCAACTGGCAAACTCCCAACCTTAAGATGCTGCTTCCTGTGCGTAGAAAAGCGTTGCCAGAGGAGGAATGAGGGGCAGCTCTGTCTGGCCCACTGAGAGCAGTCACAGTGCAGCCACCCCCAGTTTAGGTGGGAGCATTTAGATTATGAAAAGTAAATTATGAAGCAAAAATGAGCCTTGAGCATTGAATCTTCTCTTTTTGTGAAAAGGAAAACTTGACATAATCTGTACAGATTTTTATAAAATTGGAGTTTAGCCAAAACAAGGTGGGACTTTTGCTTGAGAATCATCTGCTTAAAATTTTTGGTTTCATTATTCAGATTTACTATGCTCCAAAAAGTATCCTAGGTCAATCTTTAAAACTGAATCTCATTATCTTTATAGTAACATTTAAAGTTACTAATCTCAGCACCGGAGAACAGTCTATGGGGAGTGTGATAGTTTTAACAAAAAGGTAGCTCCATAGCCTCACCTCAAACTTGCTTTATAAGGAACATGTCAAAGTGGAAAAAGAAAATAATTCCTCGTTTTTCTTTTCACTTTTTGTTGACAAAGAGG